GATAAGCAAGCCTTGCAGCTGCCATAACGTTTAGCCAAAACATGAGGAAAAGTCAAGGTGCGTGACTGTTGTTTTCGTGGTGTGTATCTAAAACAATTGGACATAACCTTACACATTAAGACAAATATTAAGACTAGCATTACAGTTGACACTAACAGCAGTTTTCCTGTAACCTTGACGTGCCTGCAGTCTGCACTAAACATTCATAGACAACAAATCTCTGAATATCTAACTAAAAAATAACCTAACAGTGTTTCATAAATTGAGGGTAAACATGAGTGAATGTTCTTTATAGGCTTGATGGCGATGAACCCAGCAGTCTGGCCTTTCCTTGCCACGAGTAATTCAGAGACCACATTTCAACATGTGGCGAGATGACATCTTATTTCAGTTTTTTTTTTTTCCTCCCCCTGATTTTGTCCAAATATTAACTTGGAACTTCTGCATATAAGTGTTTACTGCCCAGGTACAAATGTGCCTGCTAAAAGCCTCTGCTTCAAAATGAACCAAACCTATCAAAACCAAAACGTAATGGATTAAAATTGTAGAGTGTCATGCTTTAAACTCTAGCTTTTTCGGTTCCCCCTTAGGTGATCTTTAACCAGATGTCACGGTGGCCAGACCATCGGCAGCACCATTTTTGAAGACTTGCACAGACGGGCAAGTTTGTTTATAAATGGACCATTTATTGAAATTGAAGCTTTACAAAACATTTTTCTTTTGCAGGCTCTCCATCCAACTGAAGTTGAGTACCTCACCTCTTCTCCATGCAGTATGGAGAAGAGGTGAGGTACTCTACCTTGATGACTCCACCAGGAGGCATTTCCCATCTTGGCCAAAACCTCAGCAGCATTTAAAGTGATTCTCCAGGCCCTGTTTTTTTTTTTTTTTTTTTTTCCAATAAAGCTCTTGCAACTGTAAAACTTTCTTGTTCTTTTTAATATTAAAGATGGCAGGCACTGGTTGAGGTCTCCTAGTTCTTCACTAGGTACACTGCCCTTTAAAAAGGGGCTATGGTGCAACAGCCCAATTTATAGGGGCCCACACATGGAAGAATGTCTTAAGCTGCACAAGGCTTTCATGCGGGTTGACAGCAATAAGTCTTCCCAGTTGTGTCCAGATCTTGGCTTCAAGGCAGGCTGTGGGGGAAAGTGCGAATGACACATGCAGTGTTTCCAGTCATTTAACATATTATAAAACTGATATCTAGTTGACAGCATACCTGGATTGAGTCAGGTTTCTGGCCATTTGGAGGATCAGAACCTGTGACAGAGTTAACTCCAGCTTACAAGTTGTCCAGTGAATTTGAAAGATAAGTCTACTTGCCTGCTGTTTCACTTGAGAGCCATGGTCAATCACTGTTTGCCATAAACATTATAGATAAAACAAACTTTTTGCTAAAGCACTATAGGCTCTGAGGTTTTGGTTTAAGGCACAACAAAGATTCATTGTCATACAGTAAGTGAAACAGTTACACTACAGTTCATTCTAACCTTGTCCACAAATCCAGAGTGAAAGCACTAACACCGTCTTAAAACACCATATATCAAATTTGAAGTTTGTCAGTGGAAAAAATGGGCCAGATCAGAACATAGAATGGAATGTTGTATGCAATTATGTTAGATTTGAATTTTTTTATTCCAATTCATTACAAAGTTGCTCAAACACTTTTGAAATTAGTTTGTCAGGAAAAAAAGCTGAGAAATTACAGTCTGACCTGAACCTATCAGTACTAGTATAGTACTCTCATTTCAACCACAACTTTAAAATATGTTTCTCACCTCATCAACTCACCATTGACGTCCATATGTAGGAGTAACAGGGGCACTGAACACTGTCGGTCCTCCTGGCAACACGCCCAAGGCTATTTAAGCTGCAGGAGTCCCATATTCTTGTCCGTGCGTTCTGTGGCCTATTGAAAGACACATGGGGGGAGTTAGTCCTATAATGTCTGTCCTAGTTATAACAATTACTCTGATCACATAAACCTGTACAAACTAACTGTGACTACTTTTACTTTTGGCAAGTTAGATATATTTCGCTGCTAATGCATTTGCGCAAATGTAGCACTCTCACCTGTAACAAGGCATCTCAGTAAAAAGACGCCGACCGGTTTTGACCTCACCGGGTCTTCATCAGGGCGGAAACATACAGGTGCAAACGGTTTTTTCATTTTCCGTGCTGATGAAGACCCGGTGAGATCAACACCGGCTGGCGTCTTTTTGATTTCTAGATCGAGAAGGTTTCACAATTAGCCTGACAAGTGACAGGCTCAAGCAAAGCAAGAGTACTAGACACCTAACCTTACCCTTGAAAACTTTCTTGCTAGCAGAGGTTTGCTAACGTCCTACATTAGCATTAGGCTAACGCTAGATAAAGTATCCCACCTGGAATAAAAAAACATAAATTTGGACAACTGTGTTAACAGCGAAGCACCTGTGCGCTGCCTACATACATAACGCAACACATGAAATAAATACTGTGATTTTCTACAATTTTCGCCATCAATCTCCACCACAGCCAAACTTACAGAACAGGCCCCGGAGACTAATTTAAAAGAACCCAGCTACCATCTGATTGGACAATTTGACTCTGCTCTGTGATTGGACTGTCACTATCCAATCAGATTCTTCTTCTTCTTTTGTTGTTTAATGGGATTGGCAAACAGCTTTAGGTGCATTACCGCCACCTTCTAGAATGGAGTGTGGCTCATAACGGCCCCTACCTACTACTATAACAAAATAATCTCACTCCACATTATATTATTTTGCTTAACGCTATGCTCTCTATAAACCTAATAAGTTCTGTATCCTATATCCCCTGATCTTTGTCCAATCAGATCCAGGTGTGATTCACACTAAACCTCTGTACTCCTAAATTTAGTTGTATGTGCAATTTGCTACTTTCTCCCTGTACACAGATGTTCACAAATAGGCTTGTTTTGAGCGTTATTGTGTGACATAATTTGCTTGCAGATGTTATTCACACATTCAAAAACGTTTTACATACAAATCTTTCCTACACATACTCACACAAATTGTGACCATGCACATACATTGCTATTTATACCATTAAATTGCCATTCATTTGACTAGCAGGCAGTAATGGGTCACACTTGTTAAGATTGGTGAAATGCTGTGTACCACCACTAAAGGGCAGCCTTACTGTTTGCTGAGGAGAAGGAACAAGAAAAAGTTACAAGACATGTTTTAGGTAAAACTGTGGCTTATTCCTACCACTTATTTTTTTAAATAAAATCTAAAACCATTACTATTTAGTATGAAAAAAGAGGGGTTTCAAATAAATACTGTACAGAGATAAATGTAAGAATTTACAGTTTTACAGCTGCTTTGGCAAGTCTAGCAATGCAGCTTATCACACGTTGTCAAATGTAGTGTATATCTAAACAGTACGCCATCCGGTGGTCAATAAAGTGAAGTGCAATCGAGACGTGTCATTTA